CACGCTGACACAGCAGAAGATGCAAACGCTCGACCTGCAACGAGGCATTAGAGCTTGAAAAGAGGCTATCTGCCGTGAGCCGCCGTTTTAAGAGCTAGCTGAGGCGTTTTTATAAGCGCAAAGGTAAGCAGGGTCATCTCCCGTCGGATTTTCTGCGCCACTTTGTGCATTGGCTGCGATCCCTTCCGGGGGTATTTGGATTTGTTAGTAGATGTCCAAATGGGACGAACACCTTTAGGTTCAACCCCCGTGGAGCTTAGACATTAGGGCCTAGGGGTTTGAGATTTCATATCCCAGCACCCTAAATCCCAAACCCTAAACCCCAAACCCTAAACCCTAAACCCAAACCCTAAACTTAAACCCTACACCCTAAACCCTAAACTTAAACCCTAAATCCCAAACTTAAACCCTAAACCCCAAACCCTAAACCCCAAACCCTAAACTTAAACCCTAGACCCTAAACCCAAACCCTAAACCCTATACCCTAAGCCCTAAAAACTTAAACCCTAAACCCTAAACCCAAAACTTAACCCCTAAGCCCTAACTTAAACCCTGGACTCTAGACCTCGAGCCCTGGACCTTCATCCCGACGCGGAGGTCAAGTTCCAGGCTTAGTGCTTCAGGGGCCATTTCTTCTGCGAACCCTTGCCTGAACAGGGTTTAGGGTTTAGGGGGTTTAGGGTTCAGGGTTTAGGGCTTAGGGTTTTGTGGGTTTAGGGTTCAGGGTTTCGGGGTTTTGGGTTTTGTGGGGGTTTTGAGGTTTTTGGGTTTAAGGTTTTTAGGGGTTTTGGGTTTTGGGGGTCTAGGGTGTAGGGTATGATTAAATCCCTAGATGAACGCCCAGTGGAGCTCTACCCCACAACCGAGCCCCAGCACCCCTGAAACCCAAACCCCACCCCTAAACCCTGAACTCCTACAACCCAACACCCTAGACCCTAGACCCTAGACCCTAAACCCTAAACCCTACATTAAAAAAAACAAAACCCTAAACCCTAAAACCCAAAACCTCAACCCTGAACCCTCAACCCTAAAACCTAAACCCTGGACCCCTGATCCCTAAGCCGAAGCCTTGAGGTTCAAACAGCCCTCAACCCTAATCCCTAAGGCCTCGAACCCTCAGCCCCCTAAGCCCTTAGTAGGGTTTAAGGGTTTGGGGGTTTCGGCTTGACGGTTTAGGGCTTTCGGTTTAGGGTTTAGGGTCTGGGGTTCAGGGTTTAGGGTTTAGGGCTTGGGGTTTGGGGCTTTGGGTTCAGGGTCTGAGCCCTGAGGCAAAGCCGAGCATCCAGGAGGCTGGAAGAGCTCTTTCGACGAGGCACGGGGGGTTGCACGGAGACTTGCAGGTTCAGGATTGAGTTTTCGTTGGGCTTTCGGGTTTAGGGCTTTCAGGGTCCAGGGTGTAGGGTTGTAGGATATAGCTGGGTATAGGGTTGAGTGTTTGGGGTTTACGGGTTCGGGATTTAAGGTTCACGGCTTGGGGGTGTAAAGTCCTGGGCCACAAGAACTAGTAACCCCAAGCCCATTTGGGGCCCCCAAGAGCGAGGAACAGGGTATCCCTATCAGGAACCCTAAACCCTAAATTGTCTGGCTTTTTGTCTTTCTGTGTCCCGCAGCGATAGACTTTGACCCTGCAGTCCCTCACTGCTATGGTCGATGTTTAGGGTTTGGGGCTTTAGGCTTTAGGGTTCAAGCCGCAACCTAGGCCCTAAACCCTCGGCCCCAGAGCCTTTCAGTGTAAATCCTAAGCCCCAAAGCCTTTCACTTCCCTAAAACTAAGCCCCAAGCCTAACCCCCAAAACCCCAAGCCCTCATCCCCAAACCCTAGGCCCTGAACCCTAAGCCCTAAACTTTAGCCGTCGGAAACGTCAAATTCCAACGGATGGCCCTCGAAATCGCCATATTCCAACGAAGGCCCGGTCGACCGGCTCGTGGCGGTGTCATTTCGCTAGCGGAATCGCCCAATTCCAACGAAGAAATCGCTAGATTCCAAACGAAGGGCCGGCTTCGTGGGAATATGGCGATTTCTTTGGCGAGTAGAAATCGCGACATTCTAGCGAAGGGCCGGCTTTGTGAGAATATGACGATTCATTCGCGGGACTTTGGCGAACAAAAACACAAAACTCGCAATTTTTCCACCACGAATGTATACGGTTTAAGGAGTGTTCAGGGTTTAGGGTTCGGGGTTCAGGGTTTAGGGCTTGCCGTTTATGGTGTTGCTGGGGAACCGAACCTGAAAGCCGAGCATGTCGGTCGTTTGCAAGGAGCTTGATTCCACAACCTTAATCTTCAAACCCTAAACTGAACCCTAAACCCCAAACCCCAAACCCCGAACTCTGAACCCTAAGCCCTAAACGAACTTTTCACCATAATCCCTGCATCAACCCAACGTCATTTTGTTTCAAAAAGTTACATATAAAGATAACAAGACACTAAAGATCCTAAACCCTAGACCCTAAACCCCTAAGTTCTAGACCCTAAAACCCTACACCCCAAACCCAACACAAACGTCACCAGCGCCAGGCTGCACTTCACATCAGGGACTTCTTCCAAGATTTGAGGCGGTGGAGCAGCCGTTGAGCTGTACTTCAAAGCACCGAAACTAGGGGATTTAGGATTCAGGGTTTAGGGTGTAGGGTTTAGGGGAACCCTAGACTGTAGACCAAAACGCACTAGGGTTTAGGTTTTAGGGTTTGGGGTTTAGGGTTTAGCACCAGGTTCATAAGGGTTTAGGTTTCAGGGTTTAGAGTTTAGGGTTTATCACTAGGTTTCCAGAGTTAGAGCTTAGGGTTTAGCACTCGATTTCCAGAGTTTTTGTGTCCGGGCCGAGGTCACACACACAAGGTTGAACCTGAGCGGTACACTGGTTGACGGTTTACTGGGTTCTTTTCTTAGGATCTTGATTTAAGTAACCGTTGTAAGGAAATCGTGTTATTTACTACAGATCCCTACTAGGGTTCCCAGGTCCCATACCCTAAATCCCAAACCCCAAACCCTAGGGTAGCTTGAAGATGCAATCCTCAGCAGGAACCCGCTTTCGAGGTCGAGGGTTTGGGACGGTTCTGATGCTTCGCAGACCTCCCGAACGGACCCTAGCTTGAAACCTCGGTTTAGGGTTTAGGGCTTAGGGTCGGTGGATAAAGGTTTGCCATGAACCTCCAAGAAACTCCTTTTCCTGCAGATCCGAATTTGACGTCTTGGATGTTGCACCCGGCAAACAGCAAACTGTGAAGCAACCAGCCTCTGAAACAAGTTCATGAACGGTGCCAGGCCTTGACTCATTGACATCATAAACCCTAAGCCCTAAACCCTGAACCCCTAAACCCCAAACGTATCATAATCGCACTCGGAATCCACACCTCGAGAGTCGTTCGCTGTTAGAGTTGAAGGTTTAGGGTTTAGGGTTTAGGGTTTAAGGGTTTAGGGTTTAAGGGTTTAAGGGTTTAGGGTTTAGGGTTTAGGGTTTTGGGTATAGGTCTTATGGCTAGGCGATTGTTTTGAAGTAGTCTCGCAATTTGGGTTTAAAGTTAGGGTCGCACGCCTCAATTTAGGCATCCTCCGTGAACCACAACTCGATCATGCTCCATGAACCCTCACATATGGCCCTGCCTCCTTCTAAACAGATCCGGAAGTCTCCGCTGGACAGGAAAAGCCGGGATCGTGAAAAAGGTCGGCAGCTCAGTGCGGTAAGAGCCACCCGAAACCAAACCCCAAAAACCTTAAACCCCGCAAGCCTAAACCCTGAATCCGAAATACCCTAAACCCTGAACCCTAAATAACAGAAAACCCTAACCCTAAATCCCCCTAAACCCGAAAGCCTAAACCCTCAACCCTGACCCTCAACCTTAAATACACCTAAACTCTCAGCCCTAAATACCCTTGAACCCTCAACCCTTTACCCTCTATCCCTGACAGAGCACCCTGACAGAGAAACCCTATAGAAGCCCTTCTTGATTTTTGAAAGGAACCCAAAGAGGGACCCCACTTGAGAGCACCGAGGTCGGCAGGGTACTGGGCCGCTTTGGCTTCACTTGGCTGCCCAGGCGAGGCGGCATAGACATGGCAGGATGCTTGCAAGCAAGTTTAGGTCATGTCTGCAATGATCATGGCGGGACCTGCCAAGACATACTGCGTACTGGCGAGCTATTTTGGCACAGATCACCTTGTCTCATTCCGTCTGGTCTCCCGTTAGTAGGACTTGTCCCAAGTCCTTCCTCAGCCAGCTACATGGCCCCACTCGCAGCAGTAATGATGGGCAAGAGCGGTGTTGGAAAGACAACCTTCTACAACCTTCTATGCGAGACGGACCATGCTGCAGAGTACAGTAGCAAAAGCTTGACCAGGCAGTTGTTTCGTAGTGATGTCACTCACGGCCAAGAGGTGTTCTCTGTCATCGACACACCTGGTGTTGACTCAGCGGACGAAGTGCTGAAGCACTCAGTTCTGTTGCATGCCGCCCTCACGAACGGCCCAGTCAATGCAATCTTTGTCATGGTGGAGTACAACAGCCGATGCGACAGCGCTCTTGACGAGTTTGACAGAGCCATACGCATTCTCAAGCCGGACTACCACAACATGGTAGTGGTAGTGATAGCTAAGTTCGACAATGCTCCACCCCGTCATGTAACACAGATTCAGGAGGACTACAAGAAGGCATTTCGAGCAGAAGGGTTCCCTAGACTTATGTTCTATTCCAGCAACCAGAGCGCGAGGGAAGTAGCTGTCGCAATGATCGAGTTCATGAAGGCCCAGCATCAAAAACACTTCAGTACACAGATCAGGAGTTCTTGAAGTTCTTCCGTGTTGCAGATGAGACTCGCACCCAAAAGAAAGCGGTCCAAAAGAACATCGAGGAGATTGATTCCATCATCAGCTCCTATGTGGATCTCGTGCCGACTGTGTGCCAAGAGTCTGACAGGGATGAGATCATACTGAGTGCCATTGCTGCGTGCCGCTACGATGTCGACAAGGTCTACGAGCAGTTCTACAAGGAGCATGGTTCCAACATGATTGACATGGACTGCTATACACAATCGATTCAACTGCAGAAGGCAATTGATATGAAGCAACGTTCCTTCACAGCGAAGGCAAAGGAGTACATGTCTTACAATCCTGATGATGCCAAGGATTGGAGGAACTTTGTTCGCAAGTGCGTGCATTGTGGTGAAGTTTGGGTGAAAGTCTCTGGTTGCAACGGAGTCACACAATGCGGGAATCGAGAGAAATCTCACGATGTGTCTGACAAGCCGTGGTACAAGTACTCATTCGAGGTCTTGGCGGGTGGCCGCCGCAGGCTGCGCAGGAACAACGCTTGTGATCGGCGCTCGAGCACGCAGAGTGCGTCCAGCTCAGGCAAGCACAGGGGCTGCGGCAAAGACATCAATTGGTCAAGTCTACCTCGCCTTACTGACACAGAGATGCAGACATTGTATGAGGTGAAAGGCCTTGAGGAAGTCCTCATGGGCATGCAGCAGCATGCAGGCTACAAAGACATGAAGGCTTATAGGGACAAGGTCGACACTAGCTTCACCAAGTGAGTGTGCGGAATCTGCGGAGGCCTGTCCTGGAGTCCAGGACGTGCAAGATAGAAGGGCTCTGGTAGGGCGTCTATCACTTTGTCACTCAGCCAGTGTTCCAAGCCTGGCCGCGTAAGTAAGGGCGCTAACTGCACAGCCTGCAGCACCCTTCCTGCTAGTTTTGTGCGCTTGCAAGGTCAAGTGTCTTTCAGCGACAGCTCATAAGTAGATGTTGCTGTGTTCCTCCAACGGTGACCACCAAGCCACAAGCACGACACGATGATCAGCAATCCTGGCTTGCAACAAGCGGCAGACAGTCCACGCGATCGGTATGTTATCCCATGATTCTCGTGTCGGATCCAGCAGCAAGGGCATGTCTTTTCGTTTGGGTTATGGTCAGGCGTACGGTTCTGGATCCATGGTTGTTTGTGTTTGAAACTTTGCCTGCGAACCGAAGCACTATAGGGGCCTTAATAATTGCCTACTATGCTATTTTGGGGGGTTCCTTATTGTGATTATAGTATAATATACCCCAAAGCCCGATTCTAATTATTCAGGCCCCTACACTACTTGTCGTAGAGCCGCTTTTGCGTCTGGAGCTCTTTTCGTTATCTTGAGCGTGCCGTCGGACCCCCGCATCCTCACAGAAGTGCCTCGAAGACCCGGCACCCCAGAAACTCTGAGACTTAAGCCCCAGAAGCCATAAACCGCCCTAACTACCCTAGACCCTACACCCTAAAACCTGAACCCTGAACCCTGAACCCTGAACCCTGAACCCTGAACCCTGAACCCTGAGCCCCTGAAAACCCCAAACCCTAAACCCTAAACCCTGAACCCTGACACCCAGACGCCTTAAGCCGCCCCTGAAGGGGATCCCAAACCTGGAGACCTGAGCCCTAGTGTAGGGGCTTTAATAGTTACCTATGTTACCTTGGGGGTTCCTTCTTATATTTCTAGTATAGTATACCCCCTATATTATTTTTTGGGGGGTTCCCTATTTTTTAGTTTTCGTAGAACATACCCCAAAACCCTGTTCTACTTCTTAAGGCTTTTCCAATAGCCCTTTAAGGGAACCCTATTCTAATTATTAGGGCCCCTATATCAAAACCCCGCGACCCCAGACCCGCCGTTTCCCCCTAAATCCTAAACCCTAAACCCCGAAGTCTCCATGCCTGGCAGGCAAAGAACCTGGCGGATCAGCTCAACCTAGAACAGCTCCTGGAGGCCTTAGGGTTTGGGGTTTAGGGTTTAGAGTTTAGGGTTTAGGGCTTAGGGTTTAGGGTTTAGGGTGCAGGGCTTAATTTCAAGATTTAAAGCTAGACTCCAGGTTTGGGAGTTTGGAGTTTCGAGCTTGGGGATTCGGGGCTTAAGGGTTGGACACGGCTCGGTTCTCAATTTCGCATCTGGGGGGGCGAGGAGCTTGGGAAGCGCTGTTTAGGGGTTTAGGGTTTAGGGTTAAGGGCCTGCTCAAACAGTTCATGGACTCGATATGTTCCTCTTCAGTTGAGAAGTAGGGCTAAAGAGTAGAGATGGTCCTTGTTTCGATTATCGAGACGCCTATATGCAGTCCAAACACTGACCTCTGAAGGGTTTCAAGCTTTCCTCTTCGTGCTCAGTGCTCAATGCGTAGATCAAGCTCATTTAAGGGCGGGTGGGCTACATGCAGCTTCCAGGGTTCATACAGAAGCCGTAACAAGCAGAAATGAGAGCAGGGTTTGGTGGTGTCTACTTGGGACTAGAAGGGAAGACTGTAAGAAATCATGCAGGCGTCTGTATTGGGTGGGGTTTGGGGGTTCGGGGTTTGGGGTTTCGGATTTCAGGGTGGCGGTAGACAGATCTGAATATTTACGGCAGTAGATCCCAAAGCCATGTTCGAACTCTTCCGACTCCACGGCCCTAGTCTAAATTGTTGTAGACCCCTAGCCCTAAACCCTAAACCCCTAAGCTCAAAACCCTGAACCCGAAGCCCCAAACCCTAAACCCTAGGCTCTAAACCCTGAACCCCAGCTCTAAACCCTAAGCTCAAAACCCTGAACCCGAAGCCCCAAACCCTAAACCCTAGGCTCTAAACCCTGAACCCTCAGCCCTACCCCTAAGCTCTAAACCCTGAACCCGAAGCCCCAAACCCTAAACCCTAGGCTCTAAACCCGAAACCCCTAAGCTCTAAACCTTGAAAAGAGCTCTTTGGCCTTCTACACCCCCCCCCCCCAAGAACCCCAAGAACCCAATTGGACAACGACGCTTTTGCGCCCGAGAGCTGACATGGGGGCCTCGATTACCCACATTATTGCGTAAGGTTCCTGAATAGATATTGTCTAATACATACCCCCCAAATCCTAGTCTAACTTTACGGCAGCTGTAGTACAATCTAAACCCCAAGCTCTAAACCCAGCGATTGAGGTGCTCAAGCTCTTCTGCTCCGTCCGTTACGAAGACTATGAGCTCTACATGCGCCTTCTGGGTGAGGTGCCTGTCTCTGGTTTGGGGTTCAGGGTTTGGGGTTTAGTAACGGCTGCTGCCACTTTCATCTTTTACTGCCATGTTGGACCAAGGGGCAGAGCGCCAAATGCCACTGCGACATCCCCGAACCCGAAATGTTTCCCAGAAAGAAGGCAGAAACGTGAGCAGAGTTTCTAGAAGGGTCCTTAACTCTAGCTGAAGCTCACTTTACCTGCCTGGAAGGCTAAACCCTAAACCCTAAAGCCCCCGGCCCCGAACCCCTGGCGGCGGCGGCAGTGTGGTGCCCTCATGCTTCATGGGGAACTGAGCCGCGAAGCCTGCCATTCCAAAGAGCTGTCATGAGCACAGGTGCCCCTCTACGTGAAGCAGGCGAGCTTTCTGTGAGCCACTTCTTGTCGGAGGGTATACTACTACGACGACGACGACGACGACGACGACGACTACTACTACTACTACTACCTGTAGCCAAGTTGCAGTTTCTTGAGTTATCTTTGCGGGTTTGTTTAGCTTCCAGGAGCTTGGACTTATACCAGCTTCCCTAAACCAGAAAACCCTAAACCCGCTTTGTTGGTGAAGCCCGGGGAGTGTCGCCTTGCAGGTTTAGGGATGATTGTTCACTCTTTTTGGGAAGGCGGAGCTGTGAGGGTTTAGGGCTTCAAAGATCGGGGTAGGGTTTAGGGTTTAGGGCGAGGGTGAGGGTTTGGGATTTAGGGCTTCTGGGGTCATGGCTTTGAATGCTTCAAGGCTCTTGACTGTTGGCTTCAATTACGTCAAACCCACAAACTGCCCTGACTCCTGAAAATCCTGTACATAAGCCCAAAAGAGCCTGATGAATCACTTAATATCTAGTGTAGGAGCCTGAAGCACTGCCCATACTCTTCGTTAGGATTGCCTATCCTCGTTGTAGCATAAGTCGTACACCCCGTAACCCTAAACCAAAACCCCTAAACCTTTAAACCCTAAACCCTTAAGGTAGCCCTTATTGTCTCCCAAAATCGCCCGCCTTAAAAGACCAAAGACCCTTAGGGTTTCGGGTGCCTAAACCCTAACCCTGGATACCCCTAACTTAGGGTCCCTTTACAGAGGGGTTCCTTTCAGGGTCTTGGGTTTAGGGTGAAGGAGCTTAGAGCCAACCCTAAACCCTATAACCCCTAAACCCCTAAACCCTTAAACCAAAAACCCCTGAACCCCTAAACCTTAAGCTCCAAACTCCAAAACTCCAAAACCCCAAAACCCCCAAACCGCTAAACCCCTTAACCCCTAAACCCCTAAACCCTAAACCCTAAATATTCGAGTTTGCTTTCTTCTGCAGGCCTCCCAGGAGCAGCTCTGCCAGCTGCTCCGGCTCATGGCGCGCCGGCGCTTGAGGGAGCGGAACTACGCCCGGGGTCCCTGGGGGCCCGTTTTTTTTGGGTTTTTTTGTTTTGGGTTTAGGAGGGGATTAGGCTTAGGGTTTGGGGTTTTAGGGGTTTAGGGTTGAGGATTTAGGGTTTCGGGTTTTGGGGTTTAGGAATTATGTATTAGGATTTCGGATTAAGGGCTTTAGGGGGTTGCTAAGTCGTTCATTTCGAGTTCCTCAGCTGCTTGGTTCAGCGATATTTCCACTTCCTCCCGGTCTCGAAAACACGGAGGCGCGCCAAATGCTTCAAGTTTTGCCCTAAACCTTTGACCCCAACCCCCCTAGACCCTAACCCCAAACCCTACCCATCATCGCAACTTCCGCAAACGGCACACCGTGTGCAAGCAAGCTGAAAGTCCGGGGGCGTGTGCAGTTGGACAAGTCCTGACCTTGAGACTCGCAGCATTTGGTGCTTAGGGTCTGGAGACTTGGAAGTCTTTGGTTTCCCGAAACCCGAAACCTTAAAACCCTAAACCCTAAAACCCTAAAGCCCTAAAGCCGTAAAACCCCTAAACCCTAAAACCCTCAACCCCAAAACCCGAAAACCCTAAACCCTAAAACCCTAAACCCTAAACCCTAAATGCGGGCAAGTGAGGTCGACATGGCTGTCGCGCACCTCCTCAGCAAGATCCGCTTCAACGAGGAGCTCCTGTCCAGCAGGCGGGATTTTTTCAGTGGCCCTCTTTTAGGGGTTTTTAGGGTGTTTAGGGTTTTTTGGGTGTTTAAGGTGTTTAGGGTTTTTAGGGTTTTTAGGGTTTAAGGTTTAGGGCTGTTGTTAGGGTTTAGGGTGTTAGGGTTTAGGGTTCAGTCGGTTTAGGGTTTGGTGGTTTGAACAACTTCTCGTGCACAGGTTCTCGTATCTACCCGGTTGGGTGGGCAATTCCAAGAGATACCATGCAGCCCTGAACCCTGAACGCTAACCCCTAAGCCCTAAACCCTAACCCCAACGCCCTAAACCCAAGAAGACCCCGAGACCCTGGGCCAAGCCGGAACCTCCGAGCCAGTCAGCCCCCGAGTCGCCAAACCCTGCGGTCCCGTGTTCAGGACAGCATGATGAGCAGTCGTGGAAGGATTTAGGGTGTAGGGTTTTAGGGTTTAGGGTGGGGTTTAGGGTGTAGGGTTTAGAGGTGCAGGGTTTAGGGTTTAGGGTGTAGGGTCTAGG